TTCTATAACGACTCCCAACTTTGGTGTTCTCCTCACTTAAATCAATTTAATCACTTTAATCTATCATATATTCCCTATCTAGCATGAACAGATGTTTGTTCATAGCTCCCAAGGAATAGTTTCATACTCTGGGCTTGCCTGTCAAGTTTTACATGCTGGCATATGGACTTCAAGTGTGTGTGTACATCCTGGAGAGATCTTTAACATCATGCCTAAATTGAGAACACTAAATACATATGAGTATTTTCCTTCTAAGTTATTACTGTAACTCCCTGAGACCCTGATGAGTTCTTTTTTTATTTTATTTTTCTTTTTATGGAGCTAGCTGAGGCTTCTTTATTTTGGAAAATACAATTGAATTGGGTTTAGAGGGGAGTCGGGAGGTGGTTAGAGAAGTACGCCTCTGATCCTCTGGTATGCCTCTCCTTTCCTGTACTCTGACATACAGATGTCTCCTCCATGGGCAGCTTTAGGAGCCCAGGCTGGCAACGTCTCCACGGGCCGTTCACTTGGGCAGGATATCAGAGGACTCAGACACCAGCTTCCCATCATGGGTTTCAATCTTCTTCACAACCACAGCCTTGGTGCATCTATAAGAGCTGGAGCCCCAGACAGAGCCGAAGCCAGGCTGGAAGGAGCTCACGCCATAGTTGAAGCCAGGGCTGGTGAGTCCCCCGTAGGCTGAGTTCAGCCCTCCTGAGTAGCCACTGCTGGTCTTTGTATGGATGCTCAAGTTCTGCATCCCAGACTCTAGCCTGCTTTCCTCGCCCTCCAGCAGCTTCCTGGAGTAGGAGGCGATCTCGATGTCCAGGCCCAGCTTGACGTTCATGAGCTCCTGGTACTTGCGCAGCTGCCGCGCCATGTCCTGCTTGGCCTGCTGCAGGGCAGCCTCCAACTGGGCCTTCTTGGCATTGGCGTCCTTAATGGCCATCTCCCTGTGCTTCTTGGCATTGGCAATGGCAGCCTCCAGGGTAGCTTTCTGGCCTTTGAGGCCGTTAATCTCTGCCTGCAGGCGGCTGATGTTGCAGTTCATCTCAGAGATCTCAGTCTTTGTGCGGCGCAAGTCATCCCCGTGCTTCCCAGCCAGGGTCTGCAATTCCTCATACTTAACTTGGTACATGCTTTCAGCCTCAGCCCGGCTGCGGTTGGCGATGTCCTCATACTGGGCACGGGCTTCAGCGATG